TTCATCTTACCTCCGATGACTTGGGCACTGGTTTTTAGTAAAAGTTGTTGGATCTTAGGGTTTCCTGGTTCCTGTTGATAACACTGCCCGGGAAGGCTTGTCCATCAGGTTAATGATGAGTCTCTGACCAAAGTCCGTGCCTTGTGTTTTCATGCCCTCCTTCTAATTAGCAGTGTCCTGTGTTGCACAGATCTCTAGGAAGAGACACAAAGCTAGGCTCAGGGACTGTGGTTCTCCCAGTTCTGTACAAACACTGAGACTCAGACTCTAGATCACTTCTGTATTACTTGTCTTAGAAAAGAAAAACAAACAGGGAGGGTTTTTTTTTTTCTTTCTTTCTGTGGACAGCTGCTAGGTAACTTCTCGAGCTCTGAGCTAAACAGTCTTTGCCTGGATGCTCTCCTGCCTGTATTTTACAGGTGCTTTTTTGAGACCAAGGTGCAGAAAACACCCAGGTGAAGAGGGGAATGGTGCCAATGGGCACAGGGTGGGGAGGAATTTTGACCTAGCTCTCCCTCCATAGTCCCTGCCTCTGACTGTGGGGGTGGGGTGGGGGTGGGGATGGAAGGGCAGCTGCTGGCGAGAGGTGAGGGAGCGACTCAAATCTAAGGGTGTCCCGAAGCAGAAATCGGACACAACTAGAGTTTATCCCAGTGGAAGCTCAGTGACATTAGAGGCCCTGCCCCTCTCATCCAACCCGTCCCGGCCCCCCAAATCCTAGATGTCGTTCTACGTAGCTGATAGAATCGGGCGAATCCTTTTTCTCCTGTCTCCCCTCTGTTGCCCCTGCTCCCACAAGGGACGGAGGATCTTTAATGCACACTGTCCATATATAAAAAGCAGTAACTCTTATCTCTGGGGGGTTTTCTTTTGTGGGGGTGGGTAGGGCATGGGTATATAAAATGACTAAATTTAGGAACTTCTGTACATTTTCCCCCCTTGGTATTTTGAATTTCATGTGACTTCTGCTTTTCAGTAGCAATAGGAGAACCTTCTTCTGTGGCTGGGCGGTCACTTCCTCCTAGGAACGCCTACGGGTTTGGGGTGGTGATTTTTACTGATGAGTTTCCCTTCCTCCTCCTCCTCCTCCCCCTCCTCCTCCTCCTCCTCTCTTTCTCTGTCTTTCTGTCTCTTTGTGTCTTTCTATTTCTGCTTTCTCCTGGGGACTGACCTTTGGGGACTTCCATCCCATAACCCCCCAACTTTTGTTTTGAGTTTTTTCAGATAGGGTCTGTTTCAGGAACACATTCCCTTTTTTTTTTCCTTCCTTCCTTCCTTCTTTCCTCCCTCCCTCCCTCCCTCCCTTCCTTTCTTTTTTTTTTTTCTGAAAGAGCATTTGGTTATGGACAGCTTATTTCTCTGACATTTCAGAACTGAAAAATGTCCACAGGAGGGTAATTTTAGGAACCAGCGCATTGCATTAGGAATCCGTGCAATTGCTCCTTTTCAGATGGAGGGCTGAAGGAGGCAGGCCCCTGCTGGGCTTGTAATTTGTTTTGTGTTTGTCTCTGTGACTTGGCTTGGGGTTTCCTGGCAGTCACCATTCACAGAGCTGTCATTTCTCCCTCAATGTAACAGCTGGACTCTTCCATTGAGACCACCAGGGAGGCCTGGCTGCAAATGTGTCTCCACTTCTGAGGGACCCCAGGGATCCTGGGGACCTGACAGCACTCACTTTGGGAGTGGGAGGTAGGAGGCCTTCTGTCAACGTGAGTTATGTTCACGTTGAAACATGTTAATGGCTCACGCCTGTGATCCTTGGATCTGAGGATCATGGTTCAAAGCCAGCTCAGGCAGGAAAGTCCTTGAGACTCTTATCTCCAGTTAGTGACCAAAAGCCAGAAGCAGCAGAGCCTGAAGCGGAAAAGCTCAGGGACAGTGCTCAGGCCCTGAGTTCATGCTCTAGGGCAGACAAAGCACCCCAAGTATAGACTCAGAAAGCCGACATGACTCTGATGATAGCAAGTCTCTTAATTTATCACAGTTCATCATTATTGATTCTTTATTGGTTTATTGATTTTCTTTTCTCTTTCTTCTGAATGATTTTATTTGGCTGTCAAGAGCATACTGGGCTTTTTATGTAGGATCTTTGTATGCATGTTATTATAATCTGTGGGCGTCTTTGCCCTTTTTTGGGATTTTCAACAGAAAAGCCAAGGAGGCAAAGAGCACACAGAGAGGCAAAGACTATGTTGGTAGTTTCTTATCCTGGCCACTCTGCAGTGTGGGGTCTCCTTGCTTGCTCGGACTATCTCAGAAAGGTACCTTGGGCCCCGGGGAGAGTTTGTCTCTTTGATGGCCAGAGGCAAACCTTTAAGTGGACACATTATTCAATTAAGGGAGCAACAAGCGTAAATCTTGTGGGAGCAGAGGACGGTGCAGCTGTTCTAGCTGGCGGAAATGTTTGCTGAGCGGATGGGCAGGTCACAGGTGCCCGAGGGCTCGCTGCACACGCAGCCCAACAGGAGCCACGCTGGGGAAAAACATACTTTTAGTGAAATGGGGTCAAGTTGCTGAGGGAAGGCCACGGAAGGTTACTGGGGCTTGACCGCAGGGCCTCATGCTCAGACTTGGCTTTTTCACTAAAGGTCGGTGCTCTACCAGTGTAGCCACAGCTCCACTTCCAGCTTGTCGTGGGTTAAATTGGAGAGGAGTCTCTCAGATTTCTGTCTGCTGAGGCTGGGTTGGAACTGTGATCCTCAGATCTCAGCTTCCTGAGTAGCAGGGATGAACAGACGTGAGCCACTCACTGGCCTGGCCTGGAGCGTATCCAGCAGATCTCAGCACTCTGGTAGCTTCTTTCCAAAGCCAATGGAATCCCATTGACTTGACACCACTCACGGTTGAACGAGGCTGGGTGGCCCCCAACTCGGGTCTTTTCCTGGGGGTCGCACCTAAGTTTCTCAGGCACTGCAAAGGTGAGATCAGCGGTGGCGAAGCTGGTCGCATCCCGGTGACAAGATGATCTGAGAACAACAGAATTCATCTTCTCTATTGGTATTGCATAGAGACCATACTGGTAGAGCACCTACCCAGGCCTAGGGACAGAGGGATGAGCTCCAGACGCTGGCCTTTCCTTTGGGGAGGGAAAATGTACCAAACTGAGCTGGGAGAGAAGCTTGCTTTCAAGTGCAGCTGCTCGAAGGCTCTCAGCAGAGACGTGTGTGTGTGTGTGTGTGTGTGTGTGTGTGTGTGTGTGTGTGTGTGTGTGTGTGTGTGTGGTGGCTTTTGTCACTCCATGTCACCCAGTCCGGGGCGCTTGCTCAGAGCGTTGTCACCATCTGTTAATGGTCCCCTTGGAGGAGCAGTCAGTCACGTGGCATTCTGTGTCTTCCTGTTTGAGAAACCCCTCAAGACTCAGTCTTGAGGCAGGTGGGGCCAGCTCTTCCCTCTTGGTGGAAATGGATTTTATTCTGTAATTTGTTCACTAATCAGTGAGGGGTTGGTGGAAAACCCTGTGTGGGCTGGAGGGTGAACCCGTGGCTTCATTCGGTGCTCATGGCTTTGGTTGGAATTGAAAAGTCCACATTAGAAGATAGAAGAGAGCCAGGTGAGGTGGTGCATGCCTGTAATCCCAGCACGCTGCGTGGTGTCTGAGGCCTGCTGGGTTACACAGCAAGACTGATGGCGCTCTGAGGTGGAGTGCTAGCATAGCAAGTGTCGGCTTCCTGGCTTTGAACGCCGGCACTGCTGAACAATCCACAAAATGAAGGGCTTTCTGCCCAACACAGTGGACGGGCACCAGGGGCAGTTTGTTCTGACCCGTGGGCTCTTAGAGTTGGCTTGTTTGGGTGGCTGGAAGGGGCGGGGCAGCGTGGCACCCACAGCCACGCAGCCCTGCAGTCCTCCCGGGAGGTGGGTCCTGTCCCGCCGGGCACAGCCCTGGCCACCCCCACCCTCACGCCATCCGCCCTTAGAGATGGCATTGTGTGCCAAACTTGGCTTTGCTGCCCATCTGTGAGGCCGGCGGTGGGAGCTCTGAGGCTGGGAGAGTGCGGGGCAGGGTTGGGCAGAGGACAAGTCAGAGGGCCAGGAGTGCTGGGTTCCGGGGTCCTGATCAGGGAGCTTAGTGTCCACAAGGTAATCCTGTAGCCACTGCCCTGTCTGGAGAGCCTGGCCTCCTGCCAGGGGCTTCCCAGGAGCCCTTCTTGTGTCCCTCCGTCCTCCCCTGACCCACAGGGGACAGCAGCTCCCATTTCACAGAAGTGGAGGCCCAGGGAGGTCAGGGATGGGAGGACCGGGCACCAGGGCCACGGTGGAGGCCACCCTCCTTTGGAGGCTCAGGTCTCCCCAGCCCAGTTCTTCCCACCCACCCAGCAGGTGAGGGGTTGTCCAGCAGTGCACCCAGCCCCCACACAGGGGAAAGGGGACCCCCCTTCCCCCTCCCCAGACGTCACGTCTCCTAGGAAAATAAAAAGGAAAAACACCCGATGCCTTGGATGTTGCTAGTATAGAAAACACTTTCCCACGCTGGCTCTTGCTGTTCTCGAGCTGGGTGAGTGGATGCTGTGCGCGGCGGGGGCGGGGCGGGGGCGGGGCATGGTAAGATGAACCTGGCTGCTTCCTTTATGTTATGTGCGGTGGGCTTGGAAATGGGGCTGGGGACCCGGCCCACTCCTGGGCTCCCTTCTTTCCCTCCTCCTCTGCTTCCTTGATTAGACGTTGAACCCTGGGTTGTCTCCCTCTCTCCTTGCCCTCCTCCTCCCTCTTTCCTTCCCTCCCTCCCTCCATTCTTCCCTCACCCCCCAGCTGTCCCTCGGTGGACTCTGGCAGGATCAGCTCGCAGAGTCCACAGCACACGGTGCTTCAGTCCGGGCAGCCAGGTGCCCGGGGCACAGCCATTCCTCTGAGGTCATTGCTTCAGGAAGTGACCCCAAAGCCAAACTGTTTAGGCTACCAGCTCCCGCGCTGAGCATGGGGCCTGGCCGGCACCTCCTCCCTCACCCAGAGCTGGTGTGGCCTTGATCGACCTCCTCACTGCCGTGCCCGCCCTCAGTACCATGTCCACCCTCAGCACCGTGTCCACCCTCAGCACCGTGTCCACCCTCAGTACCGTGTCCACTCTCAGTACTGTGTCCACCCTCAGTACCATGTCCACTCTCAGTACTGTGTCCACCCTCAGCACCGTGTCCACCCTCAGCACCATGTCCACCCTCAGTACAGTGTCCACCCTCAGTACCATGTCCACCCTCAGTACTGTGTCCACACTCAGCACTGTGTCCACCCTCTGCACTGTGCCCACCCTCAATACTGTGCCCACCGTCAGCACTGTGTCCACCCTCAGCACTGTGCCCACCCTCAGTACCATGTCCACCCTCAGTACTGTGTCCACCCTCAGCACTGTGTCCACCCTCAGCACCGTGCCCACCCTCAGTACCATGTCCACCCTCAGTACTGTGTCCACCCTCAGCACTGTGTCCACCCTCAGCACTGTGTCCACCCTCCGCACTGTGTCCACCCTCAGTACTGTGCCCACCGTCAGCATTGTGCCCACCCTCAGTACCGTGCCCACCCTCAGTACCGTGTCCACCCTCAGTACCGTGTCCACCCTCAGCACTGTGTCCACCCTCAGCACTGTGTCCACCCTCAGTACCATGTCCACCCTCAGCACTGTGTCCACCCTCAGCGCTGTGCCCACCCTCAGTACTGTGTCCACCCTCAGCACTGTGTCCACCCTCAGCACTGTGTCCACCCTCAGCACTGTGCCCACCCTCAGTACTGTGCCCACCCTCAGCACTGTGTCCACCCTCAGCACTGTGTCCACCCTCAGCACTGTGTCCACCCTCCGCACTGTGTCCACCCTCAGCACTGTGCCCACCCTCCGCACTGTGTCCACCCTCAGCACTGTGCCCACCCTCCGCACTGTGTCCACCCTCAGCACTGTGCCCACCCTCAGCACTGTGTCCACCCTCAGCACTGTGCCCACCCTCAGCACTGTGTCCACCCTCAGCACTGTGCCCACCCTCAGCACTGTGCCCACCCTCAGCACTGTGCCCACCCTCAGCACCGTGCCCACCCTCAGTACTGTGTCCACCCTCAGCACCGTGTCCACCCTCAGCACTGTGTCCACCCTCAGTACTGTGTCCACCCTCAGCACTGTGTCCACCCTCAGTACAGTGTCCACCCTCAGCACCGTGTCTACCCTCAGCACTGTGTCCACCCTCAGCACTGTGTCCACCCTCAGTACCGTGTCCACCCTCAGCACTGTGCCCACCCTCAGCACTGTGTCCACCCTCAGCACTGTGCCCACCCTCAGCACTGTGCCCACCCTCAGTACTGTGTCCACCCTCAGCACTGTGTCCATCCTCAGCACTGTGTCCACCCTCCGCACTGTGCCCACCCTCCGCACTGTGCCCACCCTCAGCACTGTGCCCACCCTCCGCACTGTGCCCACCCTCAGCACCGTGCCCACCCTCAGCACCGTGTCCACCCTCAGCACAGTGTCCACCCTCAGCACTGTGTCCACCCTCAGCACTGTGTCCACCCTCAGCACTGTGCCCACCCTCAGCACCGTGCCCACCCTCAGCACCGTGTCCACCCTCAGCACCGTGTCCACCCTCAGCACCGTGCCCACCCTCAGCACCGTGCCCACCTTCAGCACCGTGTCCACCCTCAGCACCGTGCCCACCCTCAGCACCGTGCCCACCCTCAGCACCGTGTCCACCCTCAGTACCGTGTCCACCCTCAGCACCGTGCCCACCCTCAGCACCGTGTCCACCCTGAGCACTGTGTCCGCCTCTCAGCACTGTGTCCGCCTCTCAGCACTGTGCCCACCCTCAGCACTGTGTCCACCCTCAGCACTGTGCCCACCCTCAGCACTGTGTCTGCCTCTCAGCACTGTGCCCACCCTCAGCACTGTGCCCACCCTCAGCACTGTGTCCACCCTCAGCACTGTGTCCACCCTCAGCACTGTGCCCACCCTCAGCACCGTGTCTGCCTCTCAGCACCGTGTCCACCCTCAGCACCGTGCCCACCCTCAGCACTGTGTCCGCCTCTCAGCACTGTGTCCACCCTCAGCACTGTGCCCACCCTCAGCACTCTGCCTCTCAGCACCGTGTCCACCCTCAGCACCGTGTCCACCCTCAGCACCGTGTCCACCCTCAGTACCATGTCCACCCTCAGCACCGTGTCCACCCTCAGCACTGTGTCCACCCTCAGCACTGTGTCCACCCTCAGCACTGTGTCCACCCTCAGTACCGTGTCCACCCTCAGCACCGTGCCCACCCTCAGCACTGTGTCCACCCTCAGCACTGTGTCCACCCTCAGCACCGTGCCCACCCTCAGCACTGTGTCCACCCTCAGCACTGTGTCCACCCTCAGCACTGTGTCCACCCTCAGTACCGTGTCCACCCTCAGCACCGTGCCCACCCTCAGCACTGTGTCCACCCTCAGCACTGTGTCTGCCTCTCAGCCTCTGTATTATTGTCTTAGCCCCAGGTTTTGTTATCTTCAAAATCACGAGCAATTCACAGTGAATATTTCTGTGTGTAATATTTTGGTTCTACGTGTGAGACTTTCTCTAGGTTTTGCACCTAGAAAAAACTCCAATAGTTCCATTTTCAGTGTTGTTAGATGATGTCAGGTCATCTAAGTAGAATTACAAAGACCTTTTACGCTTTGTTCCAGAGTCTACACACAGACTACGTGGGCATAGCTGGATAAAACAAACAAGAATGCTGTCTTGTCGGGAAGGGCCGTGATTGTCGCTGTAAATGAGGAGGCTCCTGAGTAGAAGAGTTAAGGAAGAAACTTGTAAGGGAGCTGGGTGTTGGAGATTCAAGCCTGTTATCCGCGCCTGTTGGGAGGCAGAGGTCTGAGGATTGCTGTCATAGGCCAGTCTGGGCAAAGGCAAGAGACCCTATCAGAAAAGACAGGCCGAGGGATTGGCTCAGGTGTTTGAGTTTTTCCCCTGAATTAAATCTTTACTATCAGGAGAAAAATAAATAAAAGGATTCAGATTTTAGAGCCGTTTGGTTTTGGATGGTCAGGTAGAGATGCTCAGTCTGAGGAGGAAGCATTTGCAGGGGTGCAGTTGCATAGCGAGTATGACAGCTGTAAGTCTTGTCCTAGTTGGCGCTCATTCACTAAACCTGCAGGCTGCATGGCGTCCACGAAGGGGACTGGGCAGGAGGCCTAGACTGTGGGTGGGGTGCAGGGCATGGCCATGGGCCTCAAAGGACTGGGTGTGACGCCATCTACTTCCGGTGCACCTGACTGCTCCTCTGTGTACTTCCGGTTCGCTTGCTGCCCACCACTCCCCAGTGGTGCAGTCCCTCAGCCCCGGCTTTCAGGCCTGTGTGAGCCTCACACCCCTTGCTCCCCTTGCTGACGGGCACATGGACACCCTGGGCATGCAGCTGCAGCAGGTCACTTGCTACTGGCTCTCAGTGGCCAGCCCTGAGACCCAGCCCGGACTGGCTTCAAATGGTGATCCTCAGACCTCAGCCTCCTGAGTAGGATTACAACCTTGTCAGTTTCTTTAAAAACAAACAAAAACAAAGAACACCTAAAACACGTATTGATCAGGCAGCATCTTGAAGTCACGAGGTATGCCCATCCAGTGTCTGGCGGGTGGGACAGCGTTTGTGTCCGTTCCATGTCCAAAGCAATGTGACTGTTGATGAACAAGGGACGGGCTGACAGATGGACCACGTGGTTCCTCCCTGGCAGGGGGTCCTCAGCATCACAGGAGAACGGACTTCCCGCTCCCTGCGCTCGCTGCACACACAAGCCCGTGGGAGTGCCTCATGCTTCAGACTTCCCAAGTTTCCATAGGAAATGTCTAGGGACGGCAACAGCACGAGCTTGGGCAGGCAGATGGCGCCCTCGGGCAGGAGCGGTGGCTGAGGGCCACAGAGGAACTTTTTTTGGGGGGGGGCAGGACAAAAGTGCCTCAAGCTGGATTAGGGTGACAGCCACATGCCTTGGTGTGACGTCATTGTAAGTGTTAGGTTTGCAATGTTGTCCTTTGCTGCAATACAGCTCAGGACAGCTGCAGAGGGACGCAGCTGAAGAGAAACCGCAGCACCGAGAGCAGGGTAATGGACTTACACTGAACTGCAGCTAGAATCACATTAAATGTGAATGTTTCAAACAACTCAATTAAATGGCAGAGACTGCCAGATGGGCCGGGTGATGTAGGGGCAAGATCCGGTTCTGTGTTGGGAGGAGCTAGAAAATGACTTTAAACTAAAAGACATAGACGCTTAGAAGTCAAACAGATAAATTCAATCTCCAAGAAACACTGACCAAAGACAGCTGGTCAATAGACTCAGGATTTCAGCGTTCCCAGCTCACACTGAGGAGAACAGTAGGCAAGAAGCCAGAATGTTGAAAACCTCTACCATGATGATAACTATCTACACCACGCACCTAACCACCCATACCACACAGCTAACCACCCACACCACGCACCTAACCACCTACACCACACAGCTAACCACCCACACCACGCACCTAACCACCCACACCATGCACCTAACCACCCATACCACGCAGCTAACCACCCACACCATGAACCTAACCACCTACACCATGCAGCTAACCACCCACACCACGCACCTAACCACCTACACCATGCAGCTAACCACCTACACCACACAGCTAACCATCCATACCAGGCAGCTAACCACCTACACCATGCAGCTAGCCACCTACACCATGAACCTAACCACCCATACCACCAAGCTAACCACCTATACCAAACAGCTAACCACCTACACCACACAGCTAACCATCCATACCAGGCAGCTAACCACCTACACCATGCAGCTAGCCACCTACACCACACAGCTAACCACCCATACCACCAAGCTAACCACCCACACCACACAGCTAACCACCCACACCACACAGCTAACCATCCATACCATGCACCTAACCACCTACACCACCCAGCTAACCACCCACATCACATAGCTAACCACCTACACCATGCACCTAACCACCCATACCACCAAGCTAACCACCCATACCACCCAGCTAACCACCTACACCACACAACTAACCACATACACCACACAGCTAACCACCATACCACGCAGCTAAGCACCCATACCACGCGGCTAACCACCTACACCACACAGCTAACCACCCACACCACACAGCTAACCATATACACCACACAGCTAACCACCCACACCTCAGAGCTAACCATCCATACCAGGCAGCTAACTACCCATACCACACAGCTAACCACATACACCATACAACTAACCACCCACACCACGCAGCTAAGCACCCACACCACACAGCTAACCACCCACACCATGCAGCTAATCAACCATACCACACAGCTAAGCACATACACCACGCGGCTAACCACCTATACCACGCAGTTAACCACCCACACCACACAGCTAACCACATACACCACGCAGCTAACCACATACACCACGCAGTTAACCACCCACACCACACAGCTAACCACATACACCACGCAGCTAACCACCCACACCACACAGCTAACCACCCACACCACACAGCTAACCACATACACCACGCAGCTAACCACCCACACCACACAGCTAACCACATACACCACACAGCTAACCACATACACCACGCAGCTAACCACCCACACCACGCAGCTAACCACCCACACCACGCAGCTAACCACATACACCACGCAGCTAACCACCCACACCACGCAGCTAACCACCCACACCACACAGCTAACCACATACACCACGCAGCTAACCACCTACACCACGCAGCTAACCACCCACACCACGCAGCTAACCACCCACACCACGCAGCTAACCACCCACACCACGCAGTTAACCACCCACACCACACAGCTAACCACATACACCACGCAGCTAACCACATACACCACGCAGCTAACCACATACACCACGCAGCTAACCACCCACACCACGCAGCTAACCACCTACACCACGCAGCTAACCACCCACACCACGCAGCTAACCACCCACACCACACAGCTAACCACATACACCACACAGCTAACCACATACACCACACAGCTAACCACCTACACCACACAGCTAACCACCCACACCACGCGGCTAACCACCCACACCACACGGCTAACCACCCACACCACGCGGCTAACCACCTACACCACGCGGCTAACCACCCATACCACGCAGCTAACCACCCACACCACGCGGCTAACCACCCACACCACGCGGCTAACCACATACACCACACAGCTAACCACATACACCACACAGCTAACCACCCACACCACGCGGCTAACCACCCACACCACGCGGCTAACCACCCACACCACCTAACCACCCACACCACGCAGCTAACCACCCACACCATGCACCTAACGCGGCTAACCACCCACACCACGCAGCTAACCACCCACACCACGCGGCTAACCACCCGCACCATGCAGCTAACCATCCGCACCACGCAGCTAAGCATGTTCACCCCGCTGACACCCGCCGACATCCACCAGGTTGAGGCCCCCTTGAATCACTCAGCGTGGTGGCTTACCCTCCAGCCACAGCACACGTTCCAGCAGGTACTAAAAAGCCTCAACCTTCAGCATATATTCTCTGGCCACCAAAGAATTAAATCCTCCAAGCGTTTGCACATGAAGGAGTACAGCATTAAGTAACTTGTAGATTAAGGAACATATCTCAAGGGAAATTAGCAAATAATTTAAATGGAAAGCAAAGGAGAATGGAAATGTGTGGATATCCATGGGGTGTAATTAAATCCGTGGCTACTGGGAATTGAATACTTTGGAGTAACACCAGAAATATTTAAATTCCTCAGCCTCATTTAAGTTAGAAAAGGAAGAATTAAGACCATGTGGTGTATATATAAAAGAACAGCACAACTGGACAGAGACACAGGTAGTGTGTGTGTGTGTGTGTGTGTGTAAGTACTGGGCTTCAGACTCAGGGCCTGGCCCTGTTGCTTAGTTCTCTCTCCTGGCTGGCACTCTTCCACTTGTGGCTTTCTTTTGCTGGTTAATTAAGATAGCCGAGTCTCAGGGCAGGGCGCAGGCTGGCCCCGTGAGCTTGCCGGTTAGGCCACGGCCTCCCTCGTGTGGGGCCCTGGCTGGCGGTGGGCGGGGCCTGGTGTGGTGTCTCACCCTTCCCCTCCCCCTGCAGGTCGAGCTAACTGCATCCCGTTTTCTCTCGCAGCATCCGGAGCGTGATGCAGAGGTACCTGCAGGAGAGGAATGAGATAACCTTTGACAAGATTTTCCATCAGAAGATCGGTGAGTCCCGCTCATGGCCAAGGCCGCAGTGGCCTCGGTGCCGCCTTGGCGCCTGCGTTGTCTTCCTGGCTGGGGGCCGGCGGCCGGAGGGGCACTGGCTGGAACTAGTGAGAGGCGTGGCTGACATCCACTCAGCTAGTAGGGGACACAGCAGTTTGACTTCTCGTTTTAAGGCCGTTTGGGGTCTGGCCCGAGTCAACCGGACGCCTGAGTTCACCCAGGGGCACAACTCGGGGTAGGCCTGAAGATGGGAGGGGACAGCTCTGGAACCTTCCCAGAGCAGACTGCTGGAAGGGGCAGGTGTGGGCAGAGGACCGGGGTGTGTCCCACGGGGCGGGGTTGGGGTCCTGGGCACACGCAGTGGGGGAGGGGCGGATTCTGTCTCTCAGCCTGGTCCCAAGCCTGGCTTGGGGCCTGGTACCCGAGCCCAGCCTCCCCGTGCCTCTGGAGACAGGCCTCGCCAGCCTGCCTTCCCGCTAACCTGGAAGGACCCCCACACCTCTGGCTCTCTCCTCTCTCCAGAGGAGAAGCTGAGTGTAAGCGTCACAGGAAGGTCGGGCTGGCCGGCTCCGCCTCTGTGTTTGCTGGCTCTGTCCGTTCACTGCGTTTTGTGTGCGCCTGGCATTAGCGATGCGGGGTGGGGAGGGGTGGACCGGGTAGGAAGCAAGCGTTGTGTCTGGCTCTGCAGGGCTTCCTTGCGGCCTCGCGCCCTCCCCCCCCCCCCCCCC